ATAATCTATCAAGATATAAGTTAAAGTTCAATGCAGAAAAGGTGTGGTTTCTTTAAACTTTTGACAATTGCCATTAGGAGTGGATGTTTATTTGGTAGCATGTTGTATTTGCCATTTTTTTCCCGCTGAAGTTGCTGTTGACACCCATTTTGCTATATAATCATTTTGTAAGCATGCTGCTTGCCCTATGTTCAGTGGGTTGTGGCGTTATCAACTGTTGGATCTTAAATTATAAATGTTAAAAAAATGCTTAAAATTTTTCACCACATGAATTCCCTTTTCGTTTTTTTTTTGAACAAGGAGTTGAAACATATTACAAGAAGTCAATAAACATAAATCAAGTAGTCAAATGATGGTAGTTCGCCCTAGATTTATCCCTACTCAAAAACTATAAACAAAGCCTAGGTGGCTGGCCCAAAAAAAAAAGAACAACATGCTGACAATAAAGATATGACATTTGAATTATTGATAGAAGAATAACGCACTTCTAGAACATTCAATAAACATAGTTTCTTTTTAATATCCCTTGGGAAACATAGTTGGAGGTTGCTGTTGTCTGAATGTCACCTATTTTGTTACAGGCAGATACCATGATTGTCCAGGCCATTGGTCTGCTTGATGACTTGGATAAAGAGCTAAATAGATATGCCTTGAGAGTTTGAGAATGGTACGATTGGCATTTCCCTGAGCTTACTAAAATAATACAAGATAACATCCAGTATGTAAAGGCTGTTAAATTGATGGGAGATCGGGCCAATGCTGTAAAACTTGATTTCTCTGAGGTATGGTTTGTGAGCTATACTGAAAGTACCTTTTGTAATTTTGCTTTTTGGTTTTAACATCTTAAGGTTAGTTCCACTATTATGTATGTTTGAACTCAAGGATGCACAGTTATTCCTAGGATTTCATTACATGGAAACCCTTTATTGTAAATTTAATTAACATCAATACCCTCTTTATATATAGTAATACAAAATAGGAAGCTAGGCTTTGCTGTTTTCATGGATTTGTAAGTTTTTTGACTTTATGTGCCATAGATCTTGTCAGAGGATGTTGAGATAGAACTAAAGTAGGAAGCTGTTATATCCATAGGAACTAAAGTTAGTAAGCTTGATTTGATGAATATCAAAGAATTGTGTGATCAGGTGTTATCTCTTTCTGAGTACAGAGCCCAGCTATATGATTACCTAAAAAGCAGGATGGACACCATCGCACCCAATTTGACTATTCTTGTTAGGGAGCTAGTTGGTGCTTGTCTCATTGCCCATTAGGGCAGATTATAAATCTTGCAAAACAGCTTGGGAGTACAGTGTAGATTATCAATGCTGAAAAGGCTCTCTTTAGGGCCTTGAAGACTGAGCACTCTATTCCTAAATATGGTCTTATTTACCATCCATCACTAATTAGTCAGGCAGGTCCTAAGTTCGAGGGTAAAATTTCTCGGTCACTTGCTGTGAAGGCTGCATTGGCCATTTGGTGTGATGCTTTGGAAGATGTGAGGATAACTCCATGGGCTTGGAGAACAGAGGCAAGGTACTTTCTCAACGTTGCATCAGTAGTTTCCCTTTGTTCATATTTACTCAAGACTTTTTGATACCTATCCAATAAGATACTTGTGGGGTAGGATACTTTAGCATATGCATTACATATTCTAACATTTGTATTATGACTATTTTATAATAAATTTATTCTACAACTTAAAAACTTGAAAAAAGCTTACTATTTTGGTTGATTGTTTCAAATATCCTTATATTACTTTAGAAATTCTTGATTAAAAATCAAAATACCTGTTCCTATATCATAAAATGATGAAATATATATTATAAATATTGCTATACTTGAATCTTAAAATTTTTGAAATTTACCGTATCCATCGAATTATGCTGTGTGGTATCTAATACAGGTATCCATATCGATGCTTCTTAGTTTGACATGCCTATTTTAAAAGTTTGAAGCACAGTTGAGGAATCTTAAAGGCAAGGAATTAGGTTGATTTGCTGGCTCAGCTAAAGGAAAGCCCAAGATAAAAGCATATGACAAGGATAGGAAGAAGGGAGCTAGAGCACTACTGACACTGGCTAAGGTCTGATTCTGAATCACCCTTGTTTGTTTGTTTGATGCCTCTGTAATGTTTTGCTCTTTTCTCATAAATGCTGACTCTACTGTGTTTTGCAGACATATAATCTTGCCATCAACTCTTTTCTTGGTTGAGCATATTTGAACACTGAATAGGAACCAATGAAAAATGAGGATGGAACCCAAGAGACTTCTGTTAGTGAGAAGAAAGAGAAGAAAGAGAAGAGAAAGGGAAGGAGAAGAAGAATGGAGAGGATGAAGATGCTGTTCAGGAGTATGAAAATGGAGCTAACATAAAGGAGAAGAAGAAAAGTAAGGAGTCTAGTGAGAATGGTGAGTTGAATGGAGACGATGCTGATGCGGGAGAAAAGAAGAAAAAGAGGAAAACGCAAGCGAAACAAGAAGAATAAGATGAAATGCCTAAAAAAAAAGAGAGACTAAAAGAAGAAAATAGAGAATCAATAGCTATAGGGATTGAATTTTTAGTTATCAGCTAACCCATCTATCGGTAACAATATCACTTTTGGATATCTCAAGTAACTCAGTGCTTCCTTATATATAAATTGCTTCATTATACATTAATACATTTGTGTCCAATTATTTTTACTAATGAAGTATGTTGTATTTGAGGAAATTTTGATGCTGTGATGTTTATTTATGCATTGTAAATGCTACTAGTTCTAAACTTTTAGATATATATATATATATATATATTCATAATTTTCTTTCATAGTCATGGCATATAATTTTTCCTAATATGATGAGCACACAACTTTCCATTCGTAATGATGTTGTAGATTACTGGGGTAATTTCTATCTCTTTAAAACGCTAGTCAGTGCTCAATTTCTAATCCATGCCATGCATGCTTCGAAATATTCATTGATAAAGTAGGCTTTGCCCATGGAAGATAGTATGATACGATAATATATGCATGTTAGATTTTTTTGGGAGAGTTCATATACAAGTTTACAATGTATTAGTATAGTATGATATATAAAACGTTTATATGTCATGCATTAATACAAGTTTACATATAATATGTAGTGTATGAGAAGGCCTACTTTTCTGGCATTGATTTTTGGGTTGGCCTACATACTTGAGAATGACTAAGGAAATTATCAATCGAAATTTGTTGATTAGTAGTAGTGTGTTAAAAAAAAGATTGAATTGGCTATCTCAGCTTGTGATTCCATGAACAATTGAATTGGTCATCAATCTAATCTGGAACAATTGCAAAATTCAAAAAGTAATTGAATTGGTAAATACCGATTATTAGATCAATATAGTCTTCATTAATTCCAATGGTATGAAAAAATTTGTAATTGAAGGAGGGAGAAGAAATATTTATTCATTTATGATCTCTTTTATTTCAAAAGAAAATTTTTATATTTAATTATTATGCATTTGATCATAATTTAATATTAGTTATAGTTAAGATATTGAACATTAAATTGATTATTGAATTGGTTAAGACATAAGTTTAAGGATTAATGATTAAAATGATAGTCGAATGATGTGGTCAGATCAATCATAAACAAAATATTTTAATATTTTATTAAATTGATTAAGATAGTGACTTAACAATTTACTAGTTCAATTGGGTGGATTGACTTGAATTTTTATACTATGAATGTATCATGTTAGTTCAACTGTGAGTTTGATTTTTTTTTTTATTTCTCACCAGTTCAGCCATGAGTTTTATTTTTTTTATTTTCTTTTTGTTTCCCTTAGTGTATAGAATTTATCCCATCTTATATATAAATCATTTTTTAGAAAAATTGATGGTTTTTTTATAAGTCATTTTGTATGAAAGACATATCATTTATAACATTATTCTAATCTTATCTTTTTGTTATTTTCTATTAGAAAAGTAAAACGTTACATACCATATAAGAAAGATAGTTTATTTTTAAACATGATATATTTAATAAGGGTAAAATGAGAAATTATTGTCTTTTTGATAATATTAATAATTTAACTCTTTTCTTAATTTTGGAGATAGTTAAAAATGACTTATTTATAAAACAAGGAGTGGTGACTTAATATAATTCTTGTCGTTAACTTCATTTAATTGGTTAAGGGTTATTATTGTTGATATTTGTTATAACTGAAAGATTAAAGTTAAAAACATAAAGGTGAATATTAACTAACCAATCAAAATGTAGCGTCTGAAATAAGAAATTACAAAACGTATTTGCCTTATTAAAAAATATAAAATATTTTTTAAAAAAATTTAAATATTAAAAAATATAAGATATTTTTAACAGTTCAAGATATAATTAATGTACTTTGTTTAAAAGTTTTCATAATAAATAAATTATTTATATTTTTTTAAGTAAAACATCTTAATTAAATAAGAGTAAGTATAAAAAATATGGTGTTATTCAAAAATAAGTAATTATTTTATTAGAAATTATATTTGATTAAAAATATTTCACATTTTTTAACGAAGTGAATATATAATTAACAATGTGGATAATTAATTATAAAAATAATGCAGGTAAGTAGTTATAAAAATATAAAAAAAATTCTAAGGAGATCTATCTATAGACAAATGTTAGTTTGCAAAATGAAAAGTTTATTTTTAATCACTGTTTTAAAATATCATAACGGTTGTATCAGGGGAAAAAATCGTAACGGTTATCTTAACTTATCAATGAATGTGCAGCTAATGTCCAACGATGCTAACGTCATTTATCAAATTCAGAAAGGGAAAAATTTTTAGAAAGAAACAGCCCAAACGGTCAAAGTGTCCATACTCCGACTACTTGCAAGGTAAGTAAAAGCAATTAAAGCAACCTACATTATTGTCCTTCGCTCCAAGCATTGGCCGACAAGAAAATCTACCAAACCAATTAAATTGAAGCTTCCAACTTTATTATCCCTTCACACGGCTTTGAGATTATTCCCATCGAGGAAAGAAAATAAGCTCTATCATTATTCCACACTACACTTCTTCTGCGCTCTCGTTCCCAAAAAAACTTTCTTGATTTCTTCTGCTGATCTCCCCTGTTAAGCATACCAGCAACCATGGCTGAGCTTGTGGGTGGAGCATTTCTCTCTGCTGCTCTTCAAGTTGTTTTTGATAGGCTGGGTCCTACTTCTACCATATACAAGTACTTCCGATCTAGAAAGCTCGAGGGTCAATTGCTCAAAAAGCTCCACATCACCCTCATCTCTGTGAATCAAGTGCTTGATGATGCAGAAGCAAGGCAGTACACAAACTCCATTGTCAAGGAATGGCTTCAGGAGCTCAAACATGCTGTTTACGTGGCTGATGACCTCTTAGATGAGATTGCTACTGAGGCGACCAGGTTGAAGATCGAAGCTGAGAATCAATATGCTTCCAGTAAGGTGCGAGGCTATTTAACTGCTTCTGATAATCCATTTGACAAACACATGGAAGCTAGAATCCAGGAAGTGCTTGACGATCTGGATTTCCTTGTGAAACAAAAGGATACTTTGGGATTGAAGGAAATCTCTGGCGGTGGTAGCAAAGTTGGAGTTGGTGCGAAAGGATCCTCTAGATTGCCAACTACATCTCTGGTGGCTGATGAGTCACGCATATATGGCAGAGATGGTGATAAAGAAGAAATAATTCGTCTTTTACTTGATGAAGATCTGAGCAGGGACCCACTATCAGTGATTTCTGTAGTGGGTATGGGTGGGTCGGGGAAAACTACTCTTGCTCAATTGGTGTACAATGATGGGAGGATGAAGGATCAATTTCAACTCGACTCTTGGGTGTGTATTTCAGATGAATTTGATGTTATTAGAATTACGAAAACAATACTTTCTGCACTTCACTGTTCAATAACAGGATATGAAGATCTAAATCAGCTTCAATTGAAACTGAAAGAGAAATTGATGGGGAAGAAATTTTTGCTGGTTCTTGATGATGTCTGGAATGAGAAACCATCTGATTGGGAATTGTTACGAGTTCCTTTCTGTTTTGGGGCTTCTGGAAGTAAGATCCTTGTTACAACACGCAGTGAACAGGTAGCATCAGTCATGGCCTCTATTAGAGTGCATCACATAACTTTGTTAAATGAAGAAGATGGCTGGAAGTTATTTGCAGAATATGCGTTCAAAAACAAGGATGCTAGCTCGTGTTCAAATCTACAGTCAATTGGCAAAAAAATTGTTGAGAAGTGCAAAGGGTTGCCTCTAGCCATAAAATCATTGGGTGGCCTCTTGCATACAAAGTTTTCAGAGAAATATTGGAATGAAATTCTTGAGAGTGAGATATGGCAGTTAGCAGATGGTGATGAGGATATAATGCCAGCTCTAAGACTAAGCTATCATTATCTTCCTTCTAATTTGAAGAGGTGCTTTGCATTTTGTTCTATATTTCCTAAAGACGTTGAAATTGACAAGGAGTCTCTAATCCAAATGTGGATGGCAGAGGATTTGATATATTGCAACCAAGGAAATAAAAGTGTGGAGGAATTGGGGAATGGAATTTTGGATGAACTAGAATCAAGGTCATTTGTTGAGAAATCAACATTTTCCGATGACAAATTAATTATGCATGACCTTGTAAATGATTTAGCGAAATCAGTCTCTGGAGGATTTTGTTTGAGGATGGGGATTGATCAGGTGCAAAATGAAATTATTGAAAGGATACGCTACTGTTCATTCTCAAGTTTCGTCGACATGGATGATGAAATACCATTGAAACCTATTTATGAGAGCAAGCAGTTACGTTGTTTTGCTCGACTACAAGAAGGGTCCTGTGATATTGGTGGTAAGGTTGAGGCTGAAATGTTTTCAAGATTTAAGCACTTGCGAATTTTGGGCTTGAAATATGTTGCAACTATCACTAAATTAAGTGATGGTATAAGCAATTTAAAGCACCTTCGTTATCTAGACCTCTCTGATAGTGGGATTAAAAAGTTACCAGGTTCAATCTGCACCATGTGTAATTTGCAAACTTTGAAATTGAACGGTTGCGATCAGATTGTTAAGATACCTCGGGATTTTTACAAATTGATCAATTTGCATTATCTAGACCTTTCTAGGACTGGGATCAGCAAGTTACCTAATTCAATTTGTAAGGTGCGCAGTTTGCAAACGTTGAAATTGGGAGGGTGTGGGTCTTTGGCTAAATTGCCACCAGATTTGCCCAATCTCATCAATCTTCGACATCTTGATTTGGTTAGGACTTGTATAAGGGAGATGCCAATGAACATGGGAAGGATGAAATATCTTCAGGTATTGACAAGGTTCTGTGTGGGAAAGCAAAGGGGATCTAATATTAAGGAGTTAGGAAAACTCAATTATCTTCAAGGCAGGCTTGAGATTTTTCAGTTGGATAACATCAATGATCCAATGGACGCGGGGGAGGCCAATATGAAAGAGAAGAATTACTTGAATGAATTGACTTTGGGATGAAGTGGAAACAATGAGGATTCACAAAATGAAAGGTCCGTTTTGGAGGCTCTTCAACCTCATATCAGCTTGAAAGATCTTTATATTAGTGGCTATGGTGGCACAAGGTTTCCGGACTGGATGGATGCTCATCATCTACCTAATTTAGTATCTCTTAGGTTGAGCTGTTGTAAATATTGCTTTTGTTTACCACCACTTGGGCAGCTGCCCTGTCTAAAGAGTCTTTCGATTTATGGATTAGAAGGAATACAGGAGATTGGGTCAGACTTTTATGGGGAGAATTTGTCAATTGCTCCGTTTCCATCCCTTGAATCTTTGACAATTGAAGATATGGGGGAATTGGAAGAATGGAAGCATTTTGAAGGTGAATGTTTTCCTCGCCTTAAATACATGCGTATACAGCGCTGTCCGAAATTAAGGAAATCCCTTCCTCTATGCCTTCCATGTTTGGAATGGCTAGATATTGGAGGATGTGATGGCTTGGAACTTGAATCATTCCCTATGAAAGATTCCTCTTATCCGAAACTTGAACGGATCACCCTTGCTGGCATGACCCAACTGAAGTCACTTCATGAAGACATGCATGCACAGGTCCCCTGTCTTCGTTCTTTAGAGCTGGTTGGATGTCCACAGCTGCAATTGGTTCCTCAAAGAGGTTTTCCTTCAAGCCTTTTCAATATTAGAATAACAAGTTGTCCGAAACTCATAGCTTGTCGTATGAGCTGGGGCTTGCAAGGGCTTCATTCTCTAAAACAGTTACAAGTGGGTGATCATGATTTTGAAAATGCCGAGTCTTTCTTAGAAGAGTTACATTTGCCACCCAAGCTTGCTTTTCTTTATCTTGAACGATGTTCAAATTTGACAAAAATAAACAACAATGGCCTTCTCTCCCTCACATCTCTTCAACACTTATGGATTGAGGGTTGCCCAAATCTCGAGTGCTTGCCAGAGGAAGGTTTACCCAACTCCCTTTCTTCAATATGGATTAGTGGAAATAGTCCATTACTAAAGCAGCGGTACCAAAAAGTGGATGGACCAGGCTGGCATAAAATTTCTCACATTCCACGCGTGCGTATAGAGTAGATGGAACTGCATTCCCTTACAGGTATTTTATTTTATTTTAACCTTCCATTAATAAGTTGATTTCATTGTTTTGACATTTTCACTCTCTTTTTTAAACCAAAATAAAGGCACCATATTTTGTAGTCTGCTCAAAATCCGCAAAATTATCATTGTAATTATTTTTTTTTAGATGGGAATTTGAAACTCAATAAGCACCCAGTCTCCTAGTTTTAATCCTTGGATTAACAATTGTAGAGTTTTTTTTTTTTTTGGGGGGGGCTTTAAATTAGTTGTTTGGTTTCGTCTATTTACTTTTTTTTTCTTTATTAAGTTGAAACCTATTTTTTGAAAAATATATTAAAAGAGTTCTTTAAAAAAATATAATTATTATCATTGAAAATATATTCTTTATAAAATTAATATTAGAATCAAAAATAATTTTTAAAAAATTGCATCTAATCAATAACTATCAATTATTTTTACATGACATTAAGTTAAAAATAAATTTTAAATTTTGAAAGGGATTAAAAAAAATTGTAATGACAAGAAATGTCTAAAAAGATTATAAAAATATTATAGTTCAGGATAATTCTCAACAAAAATTAATATAATTTAAAAACGAACAAAAAATGGCATTTGTTTGGATTGGAGTACGCCTAAGTGGCTCAGGCAGGGAAGGATTGATCAAGGTTTCGGATAATGTGCATAAAATAAGAAGCCTTGTACTATCGAATCCCTTCCCAAGAAAATATTGTTTCTTCTTTGGCCTCGTATTAAAAAAAAAATTTGTTTATTTCTCAGACAGTTTTATTTCAAAATAATATTTTAATTTTAAATTTTAATATTTTACCTTTCTTTCATCTCTTGTTGGCAGTTCCTTCATTCATTCGCCCGGGAGTCATGATGCATATATAGAGTTTCGTTGCTCATATTCTTTCTTAATTAAAGGTTAGTAATTTAATATTATTGCGTTTCTTGTATTTAATTATTTTTTTTCTCTTTCTCTATCTTTAATAAAATTAAAAATGATGTGCAATTGTTAAAAGTATTTATGAGCAGCAAAATTATTGTAGGAAACCGTGAACGTGTATGAATCATTAATAAATGATGACATCTAATCGCTGCAACTTGTTCAACCAAACTTTGAAATTAGATGATCTTATCATTATTATTTTTTTTTGGTAAAAGAAATTAGATGATTTTAAATTGCATGTGTTCAGATTGTATTTTAACAATAATAATCATTTCAAAATAATAATAATAATAATAATAATATTTGAAAACTTTTTTATTTATATCAAATAATTTCATGCAAACAATTATTAATTTTAGGGAAAAAAATTCTTTACTTTAAAATTTCTCTAGCTGACTTTAAGATAGTGGAAGGATTGATTGAGTTATCTATTATGATTTTTTTAAGAAAAACTGATTAATTATATATTAAAAATTAAAAATACCTTATATTTTTGGATAAATTGGTCCACTAGCTGAAAATAATCTTATATCTAGGAAACATGGACCAAATTTTTTAAAAATTGAAAGTAACGTCAGTTTACATTAATATACAAGGAGTTTATCATTAAAAATTTGAAAATTTACGAGGGACTTATCATTGACTTACAATTGTATATTATTAACAAATATAATAAATTAGCCATAATGCAAACTATAATAAATGTTGAGCTATTTGCTTGGTGTGGTCATATAACATGGACTATATCTACAAAGGTCCCTATATCTTCTAACATCTAACCTAAGAATAAATGCCATATATTTTTAACCAAGGAAGTAAATGATTGAAAGGGAGGGGCACTTCAAGAAAATCAACATACAATTTTTACAAATATCCAACTTAATTAATTTCCTCAATTTATTTGAATTAGTTATCTAGTTCTTTCATGGACGATGGGAAGGAGTATCTGATTTTAGGGTGAGGATTCTCTCCACTTTTCTTCCCATCATCTGCTTGATTTCTAACCATTAGATCAAGGTTATGATAGTCTATATTTGATTTCCTATGTAATATTCTATTTTATTTTTATTGTATTTTTTAATTGTTCATAGTAAATTTTAGTTTGGATTTTAATATTTTATATTTTTTATACTTTTAACATTCCAATAATAATTTTATAGGAGATTAAATATAAACCATCCAAATTTTAATCTAATGGTTAAAAAGGAAAAAGAAGGGGAGAGGATGAAAAAGGAAGAGGAGAGAATTCTTGCCCCTTGATTTAAGTTCAGTGTACATGTTTAATTATGATGCTATCTCCATTTACTTACAAGCTCATTGTTGTTACTTGTGTAGGAATGCTTAGCGAGATACCAAGTCTTTGGACTATCCTGAGTTTCCCAGAATCATATGCCATCCCATGTATTGCCAATCCTTGTTGTGATCATCATCTTCCTCGGCATCTCGTGGTGCTTTTCCTATAAGCAACATGGTTGGATTCTGCTTGTGATTCCAGTAATGATACTACTCTTACATTATTAGTAGTTTCCAAGGATGTGTTTTAGCCTTTTAGGATCCACTTTTGCAGGCTCTTTTTTGAAATGAAAATCCTAATAATATGATCATGATGCCAAGTTTCATGAATCTGTAACCCTTTTACTTGTCTTAACAACAAGCTCAAGAATTTTATCAGGTAGCGCCTTAACTTTTTCATCATGCATTCATTCATTGAGTGTTCATAATTCTACAACCACAATAAATGTCGTTAATTATGCCCTCACAGCTACATAGAAATTCATGCACATCATCTGATTGTGTGGCAAAATTTACATGATTTTTGTTTTATCTAACAACTAATGCACATAAGCAATATTTTGAATTTCAAAACAAACATGTTTGCCTGTGTTGTTATGATTCTATCTCATTCTTCTATTTTTCTCCATGTGCAGAAATGCTTAGCCAAATACCATGGATTTGGACTATCCTGAGTTTCAATGCATGTAGAGCAAATTTGTGAAGATCCCAATCCTCACATGAAATCTTGTCCACAAACCACATACTCGAAGCTTCCTCTATCCAACCTTATCTTCCCATGTGCTGGTAGTCCTAGTCGCGGTCTCCATCTTCCTTGGCATTATTCTATGAGGAAGTTTTCAAAAATGCAGATGAACAATGGGGCTGTATTCTATTCACTACCCTAGTTGTGATGTTGCTCTTAATTTTCTTCTGAGAGGAAGAAAGGAGGACCCATCATTTTCCATTTATTGTACTCTTGCTTATCATGGTTCTGTAAGAATCACCTTCCTTGAAACCGAAGTTCTGGTCTGTTTGGTTTCTTTCTCTAGAGGTTTGAATTCCTGGATAAAGTTACTTATTATTTTGGTGAATTTGATAGTAAAATGTCAAAAACCTATGCCAATTGTTAGATAATAGGAAACTTTGAATCTAACCACATGAAAATGACAAAATATATGATAGGAGACAGAGCTGTATGAATTTGGTTTACGATATGGAATCCTGTTTATTTGGAAAGAAGCTTGCTTAATGAGGATTAGAACTTCTCTGATAATACCCTGCTAAAAACAATTGTGAAGATATTGAAATTCAGTTTTAGGCATGCTTGAGAATTGAATCATAATTGATCACCTTAGAAAAGCTTTCTATATGTGTTTATGCTTCTTTATAGACTCTTCTTTTATCTCATGGTTACTTTCTTCAAATTATTTATAATTGACAATAAGCACCTGAAGCTTACTTTGTCCTGCATCTACTTCTCCTTTTGTATCTTGTATTCACTTTTGAAGTTTTTATTTGTAGTTGGATTTGAATCTGAAATAAATTTGCCAATCTTGTCTGTGAAAGTTGCAACAAGTGAACAACTGGCGAAAGCTAATGGCACATAGAGTATTGAAATTTATGGATTAGCTGCAAACTATCAATGGTACCTATTGTCCTTTATTTCCCTCTGTTGCTTTGTTTCTTTAAGATTGATAACCATTAACCAATGTATACCAATGAAGTTATTTGAATTAGTATTTTATGAAACTAATTGATTCCGTTATTCAATTTGACTCTCTCTTGTTAAGACTCGAGAGTTTTATGACCGTTCACTATTCCTCAAGAAATCTAGTGAAGCCAAGAAATATATTCCATGTGTAGTAATGCTGAGCCGAAGACCATGTCTTTGGACTATCCTGAGTTTCAATGTATATATGTAAAGCAAATCTATGATGATCCCATCCTCACAAGAAATCTTGTTCCACAGAACCACATGGTTGAAGCTTCCACTATGCTAGTGGTGGTCTTCATCCTCGGCAGTTGATGGTATTCTATGAGAAAGTATCAAAAAGTGTAGATGAACAATGGTGCTCTTAATTTTTTATGGATAGTTCAGTTTGGTTCTTGTTTGGCTCATCAACACGTAAGGAAGTAAGGAGGACCCATCTTTTTCCATTAGAGGGGTGTGGATGTTCTTATTCTGCTTTGGCTCATTTTTGTTTTGTAAGAGTCATCCTTTCTTGAAAATAAAGCTCTTCTATGTTTTGGTTTCTTTTTCTAGAGGTTTGAATTCCTTGATGAAGTTACTTGGTTTTCTAAGAATTTGACTGTGAACTTTTCTGTGACTTTCAGCACTTTCTTCTGTTGGAAAAAGGATAGGAGTGTGTTTCTGGGCACATTAATTGTAATTTTTGTTGATTTTCTTGTATTCCCTTGCATTGGCTGTTGAAAATGTGTGAATTGATAAATTAATTGGCTTGAAGTTTTTCTGGTTGCAGGTACAACTAGACTATGGTTGGTCTTATTGAAGTGACTAACACACAGCATTGATTCTATGTGAGATCAGTTTATGTGTTATGGATCAAAGGAATGATCAATTGCCTGAAAAATTTCTCCTCTTTTAGCCTTGGGTATGTTTTTTCTGTGGAAGTTGGAAAATCTTTTGTTCTATTTATTGCTGACCTTAAACACCTAAGATTACTTTGTCCTGCATCTACTTCTCCTTTTTGTATCATCTATTTCACTTTTTAATTCTTTATCTGTAGTTGGATTTGAATCTGGAACAAAACTACGAGCCAAGCTTGTCAATCAACGTAGCAACAAATGAAACAGCTGCCAAAAACTAATGGCATGAGGGAAAATTCAAATGGTTGAATTAGTCTCCCATGATCAAAGGTACCCCACAGTCCTTTTCTCTCATTATGTGACTTTGTTTCTTTTACACAGATAAATGTTCGAGAACATTGCCAAGAGAAAAAGATAACTGCTTAACTGACATATGTCTGTGAAGTTATTCTCTATAGGATTGCACTAAAGTGTTGAATGAAACTTAAACTGATTACTTTTTTCTATATGAATATTTCTTTTGTTAAGAGTTTTATTTTTGTTTATAATTCCTAGAGAAATGTAGTCATGCCAAAATTCAATGCTGGACTCCTGAGATTCATTCATTTCATGATGTCTGCATTATTTGCTGTCAAAGTCTCAGTTCAATGGGGATAATTAGTGGCTATCATTTCAATGCCTAACATACTAATTAAGTTTCCAATTCTAATGATGTGACCACCATCATGGATGGGTTTTCCTTGATGTATTCAGTTTTATTTTTGTGAATAATTTCATGTAAATGAATAACAATTTAATATAGAAGATTAGTCATTTCAAATTTTCTTCTCATAAATGACTCTCCAGATGATGACTAAATCATCAAAAATCCACTACATATGTCTCTAAGGATGGACAAAATATTTTTCAAGTTTGGAGATGAAAATCTTAATAATGTGATTATCCTGCAAAGTTTCATGAATCTATAACCCTTATACTTGTCTTTATCCTTAAATATCTCAAGAATTGTATCAGGTAACTGCCTAGCTTTTACATCATTCCTTCATTGTGTGTTCATAACACCTTATGCACCTCAGCAATATTTTGAATTTAAAAAAAAATCATGTTTGCCTGTGTAGTTACGATTCTTTCCCATGCTTTTATTTTTCATCTACATGCAGAAATGCTAAGGCAAAGACCATGTCTTTGGACCATCATGAGCTTCAATATATGTGAAGCAAATTTGTGATGATCCCATCCTCACAACAAGTCTTGTCCACAGAACCACATGCTTGAACCATCTCCAACCTCAACTTCCCATGTGCTGCTATTCCTAGTTCTAGTCTTCATGTTCCACAGTATTTGATCGTATTCTTGTGAAAGTTGTAAAAAGTGCAGATGAACGATAGGGTTGGACAGGGTCGGAATATGGTTCTGGACATATTAATTGCAATCTTTGCTGGTTGCAGGTACTTTGAGATTGCAATCTGGCTTTTTATATAGCACTACCCTTTATTAATTTTATGACTGTTCATTATTCCTGAAGAAATCTACTGAAGGCACGATTGATTGCTGTTCTTTGGGATTCATTCATTTTCATTATCTCTGAATTTGTTGTTATAATCTCAGTAAGTTGTGGAAACAGGATACTTTGGTGCCTAGCATGCTGTATTTTCAATTCTAATGATGTTCAGTTCCATTCATGGCTTGATTCTTGAGGGTGGAAGGCTTTTATCTTGATTTCTTTGGGAGCATAAAGGAGCTTGTTGATCTGTCAGAATAAGTGAAGAAGTGTGGTGCCGATGTTTGAACCGTTTCTTGTATATTTTTTCTGAATTTGCAGGTAAGCTAGAGATGCTGTCAAAGCTATTAAAACAACAACAAAAAAATGATGGGAAAGCTTTGTGGCAAATCCCAATAGCTAACTTCATTTAGTCAAGGGTGAGCATGCAATTCTTCATGTAATTCTTGACAGAGTCTATTCCACAAACAAAAAGCCCCATTATGCAATTTGATGAAACTGAATTTACAATCCTTACCTTTCAGTTCTATAGTGTTATGCTGAATCACCTGTTCCTTATCTGATGAGCAATGCAAAAGAATCATATTCATAGTCAAGGAAGAATCATGTTTCATGCTGCGAGTGTCAACAAATTTAGTAGTTGGTCCTTTGTTGTTGGGCCTGTAAATTGTTTTGTTTCTGTTCAATGTACACTAGTTGGGCCAGAGAGACCTATTCAAAGGATATTTCAGATAATGAGCTGATATGTTACTGTGTATATTGGTCATTTTGAGATTACAACTCTCCATGTGGTAATCGAGTTCATGTGTTCCTTCAAATGCCTTTTGTTTATTCCCTTTGTTTTTTGTTTGTTTGTTTGTTTGTTTTTTATTTATATTTATGCAATGTAGAGCCAAGGTTAGGTTGAGGTTGCTGCGACTAACCAGATTGTTTGGTTTTGAACAACCATTCCACATGAATCTGATTTATCATATGCTGATATAACTAAATGAATTTGTTTTTGATTTATCATAAAGATAATACCATAGTGCTTTTATCTTAATTTTTCAAGAATATCTAAATATAGAGCCCAATATTTGGTAATAAATGGATCAAAAAGCTATCTACATATATATGCTTGTATACGCATGTATGTAAATGTGTGTAGAGCACATGCATTCCTTTTCATTTGTTGGAAATTAAAAGAGACTATGAAAGTAAAATACAGGGCTTTTGTGGCTAATTGTAAATATATGTGATAGGACATGTTGCTACATGATTTGGTTTAAGATATGGGGGTTGGAATTTCTTTTTTCTCTACTTCAGTAGAAAATTTTCATTCAAATTAAAGCGCACGCACATTTTCCTTTTACCTATACAAGCATATTTGTTTAGTAATATTTTTTAAAATTTAAATACATAAATCAGCCAAAATAATATTTCAAAGACTCAGTTAAAAAACTTGAAATTATGTAATGTTGTTGAAATGAAATTTCTCATTCGTGGCTTTTGAGTTCCATGGTGTTGTACTAAATTTTTCATATTGAACTGCTAATGTTCAAGCTGCTTGAAAATGAAAACTTTGAAGATTATATTTATAACAAATTTTGTGGTCCTAGCCTGGCTTTCCTGTTCTTGCTACTTGTACTGATGTTGAGAAACTAAACATTGTGATGTTAGAGAATAGATCCTCTGAATCATTAAGAGTCACACTTGAAAAACTCTTATAATGAGAACTTAAGAGATTGTAAATTGTTGTAAGGACTCTGTCTTCCAAAAATTCCAGCTGCAATGTATGAATGTTGATCATTATGAAACTAGAACTGAACAACTTGTGAATGAATTCAGAATAAATAGTGCTAGTCTTTTGTAGTTTGCTCTATTTTGCATTTATTAGTCATTTTTTTTACTGAAAAATATAATTCATTAGAAAGTTTATTCCTTCCTTAGCTTCTCCAATGTAAGGTTAGCTTTTAAAAAAAAAAAATATTTTGTATGCTTCTTTAATTTTTTTTATATTTGAAATATCATGTTTTAATGTGTTTTAGTCTCACTCAAAATTAAGAACATATTTTTAATTAGAAAAATTAAATAAATAAAAATTATTATTTTATCAATTAATTTTTCTTAATACACTTTTATGTGTTGCACCTCAAATCTTTTATTTTTATCTGTAAATAAAGATAATTGTTTAACAGTTTTTTCATTATTTGGTATGCAAAATGGATTATTTTATTATTTTTTGTTCCCATTAGATAATTAATTAAAAATGATTTGTTCATTTTGCTTGAACTAAAATTTGAATTAGGACCTCCAAATTAAATTTGCATGCACATGAGGACTAAATTTGAAATGATTTGTTTGTTGTTAATCAAACTATTAGTTTTGAGTGCTGCATCATTTAAAAGATTTTTCCATATTCTTTCAATATTTGCCTTAGAAATTTTTTTTGGTCACATCAAATATAATTTTAAATTAAAAAATTTTGGTTGTTATCATTTCTACAGCAACTTAAACCTAAACTGTTACATTGGAAAACGATTAAATTTTATAAATAAAATTGAAAAAAGAACTAATGTTAATATCTGCTTTAATAATTAATCAACAAAAGAGCAAATTATAGACAAATATGAGCACCCTTACTTAGAACCTCCAAGTATTTAAATGTTTTTCTTGCTCAAGTTACAAAAATATTCACATGCCTGGTGCATATTAACAAGTCTAATATTGTTTAGTTTACAAAACTCAGCTGTATATAATATCTATTTTTTAATAATATATATAATTTATCCTTTTAAAAAAAATTAATAGTCACATTTATAATTAATTTTGTATAAAAAGATGAAATATTAATTACTTTCTTTTAATTCTACTTTACAAAATTTTCTATAAATATTGTAAAACATTGCATATAAGAGAAAATGTATTTTAAATATGACAAATTTAATAAGAGCAAATAAAAAAATTTCTTATTTTCTCAATTCTACCAATATAGTTAGAATTGACTTATAAATAAGACAAGATAATATATTAATATTGTTAAAATTGTGGATAAGTAAATAAATTGTTAGGTGACAAGGATCATTCCATATGATGATTGTATTTTGAAACTCAGAACTTAATTAGCAAATAGTAATACCTATACGTTTAGACTCCTAAATCTGGTTCTCATTATTGTCTCCGATAGCATAATGCAAATGAAAAAAAATATTAAACCATAACACGATAAGTTATAAAGGAATCAACACACCCAACAATGTGAATGATCTTCACCACCTGTCCTTTTTCCAGCCTATAGTAGCGTGCCGTCGCATCAATTCCTTGCAAGCATGGCAGCTTATATATAGATACAATTACAATTGAAGTTAATTTATCTGATTCATAAACTTTTCTATATATAATAAACTTAAATAAAAAGAGAAAATGTAGGTGAGAGTCTTTAGTAGAGGGAAAAAAAAAAAGGCAAGGGTTCTGAAAAACTAAAATTTTATTTATGCAGCTAGACTTGCGTATAGATGAAACTTCAATTATTCAGGATCCTTGCTGCTTTTTTTTTTTTTCTAAGACTCTCAGTGCCATTCTCCCTGAATAAAATAGTTTTAAAATGGAGGAAAAAATAATAAAAAAATAACTTTCTCTAATTGTGTAAATGAAAAAAATTATCTCAAAAACTTTATATGCTATAAAAAAAGTAGATAAATTTTATTTAATAAATAATAAATTATAAAATTATTATTTTCTATTATTTATAAAAATTTTGGTTTTATAAAAACATTAATTTTTTCTATTATTATAAATTTTTTCTTTAATTTAATTTAATAAACATTAAAAATATTATATTTTAAAAAAATCTTAATATTTATTTTAAATGTAAATTTTGCTCTCATTGATTAATTCTTCTAAATCCATCACAAATTAATTGATGCCTTTATGGTGACCAAATTGGAGTTCGCTACGCCATATAATCACAATTGAAGCATGGCAGCAAGATGATGAAACATGGAATTCATTGAATCTTTGACTCCTCCTTCAATGAATGAATGATACTATAGTGCATATGAGTTAACTGTTTTTAAATCTTTTTATACTCGTTCTTGCTTCTACCTTATGTATCTACATTTCGCAGATTAATACAGTAGTTGACTTATTGTATATTATACTTATTAGACAGCCAATTAAATAAATACAAACACAATCAATACCTGCTTCGCTTCCATTTTGTACTTCTCAAGCAATTTTGACTTCTCATCTGTAGTCAATACCTCATACTTAGGTTGCCATATATGCTTTGAGATATTCGCCAGCAAGTCATTGATCTGTCAATAATATCATTTATTTAAAAAATTATTATATTAGGAGCAGCAGAAGGAATAAAATATCAAGGATAAGAAATATTTGAGACAAAAAAAACTTAAAATAAATTAATAAACACAAGGGCCTGAAATGTTAATTAATTAGTGTATGAATGCTGCTCAAACCATGCATATCAAAAGTGGAAATTCCCTTGAAAACAACACCAGCCTCATAAACATCATAGTGTAACAAAGTTTTGCTATCCTTCTTATTACCAAATCCTTTGAAGTGAATTTGGAAAAATTGATCAAAAGTACTGAGACACAGCCAACTTCTCTAAAGACATCAAAAGGCCTATTCCAATGGTAACTCTGGTGGAAGGGGAAAGTTTCTGATCGGAAGGTACGCCTAAGTAGATAAAAGCCAATGTTCAAAAATTTGGCTAATGAGATAAAATTAAAGCATTAATCATGTGTACTGGAAGATATCCTATGAGTACATCAATAGATTAGCAAATAGGCGTGCTGATTGGCTGGGGGCAAAAAGCTCATAACATATGAACGACATACATCCAAAGTGATGATCATTAGAGAACCACCCCCACAATGCATAGACATTATGATGATAAATATGATTAGAAATGTATTAGCCTTTACGAGGAGTCAATCTTTTTCCTTATCCTTCTTAAGGCTCTGCCTTCCTTTATGTTCCAAAAAAAAAAAGGTCATGATTAAAATAACACCTAGCCGAAATAGCATAGCACCAAAAACTTTAGCCTCCTTTGAACCAATAGTAAGACCTTTATCTCACCCTTATTTGAAGCCCTAGAGAAAACATCCAACTCAAAATGTTCATTATTGAAGTGCACGAAGCCTCTCTGACCGAGACCAACATTGAGATTTACTATTAAATTAAAATTCACTGAAATCTTGATAGCTTCTAAATTATTCTAATACCCTTGAAAATAATTGGCAGCATACTTTGGAATTTGTAACTTACTTTAAAAGTGTCGACCCTGCTAAAGGGCCAATTTTGCAGTTATTTTCTTGCATATGGGGTCATTTTACTTTGCAAAACAAGTATGACTTGACTCAATCTTTCTTCATTCATAATCTTGCCATACAGAAGACAAATAATTTCAACTTTTACATCAATGGTTTCAAGAAAGATAACCAATACCTGCAAAGAAGGTATTAAGCCACTGTGAATAGATAATATATAAAGAAAACATGACATCTTAATTGTATGCAATTAGAATTATTCAAATAAAGTTTTAACCCAAAAAAATTATTAAAAAAGTGCTTCAATAAAACAGCTAAAATGCATGGTAGTTTGAGGTTTGATAACAGCATCACATGCAAGTGACATTTATCATTTTTTTCTCTAATATGTTAAGTGACCAAATTCTTGTTCATACTTTACAACATTCTTAGTCATAATCTATGCATTTCTTATTTTGTCTAGATGACAAAATATGTCTTTCAATTGTTTACACAAATTCCACACAGGAGTGAAAGACATAATCAATTGAGTTGTTACATGAGGATAAACCCAAAAAAAGAACCCATGTCAAAAAGCCAGCCTTTAGGTGAGAGAGCACTTCAAACTTTTAAGAGGAAATCAAATTTAAAGGGAGAGATTATCCAAAGAGATTAGTATATATTCCATATTTAAGAGAGAAAACTTTTTGAGCTTATAATTTCACCTCACTTGTGAGGCTCTCTATGTGGAACTCATGACAAATTACTTTATTTATGTATATATTCCATATTCCATATTCTTATTTTACCACATATGCAACAATATTGTCAAAGCTAATTCTTTCTCCTATTATAAAATATTATTTGCATCACCAAATGCAAAATGGAGAAATATGTTTAAGGTTGAAAGGATATGAATTACACAAAATAATGAAATGCCCTACAAATTGTAGGAAATTCATTTCAATATGACAAAGTGTCATGTCAGGCTTCTTTGAAGAGGGGAAAGGTTTTTCTAGATTCGTATGTAAAATTCAAGACCACAAAAGAAAGGTTAAAAGTTATACTAAAGCCATCATGTTCATTGATGATTCAAAAGGAATGACATAGTAATTGACAGAATTGACGTAGACATAAGAAGATACCATCTAATAATACCACTCAAATTTCAAAACAAGCCAAATTTTATCAATATCTGAATAGCTCCAAGTTATTCATTTATACATTCCACCACTTCTGTGATGACTGAAGACAAAATTATGCATTCCTCAGCTTTAGAAAAATGATTACAGAACAAAAACAGACAAGCGATAGAAAAGACATTGTTCAGTTGTTAAATTAAAAAAGAAACAGAAAATTGTGATTACTTTGATTCATATGCAAATCTCTTTCATTAACATATGAAATCAAAAATGTGTCTGGTCCTCAAGTCCTCAACTATCACTTTCAACAATTTAAATCTTCCTATCCATTTCTCATTAACTTCTTTAAGGAAGATTTCATTTCAGACTTCTCAATGCGTAGCTGGCATAGTCGCACCAACCAAAAAGACCACGATGCACGATTTCAAGTTGAGAAAACAATAACAAAATGTCATTACGAAACACTATAGTCCACGGTATTCTTTTTTGAAGTTGAGAAAAAGTTATATGTATGCATTTCTTTGTATTGAAAAAAAAAAAAAAAAGTAAAGCCGCATAGCTTTCTTCGGCAATCGAAACAGAGCAATGCTTAATATGTTACTGATTTGAGTACTGACCTTGCTCGATGGATCAGAGCGGAGAGGATCACAGACACGGAGGCTTTAGATGTTCGGTTGTTGGCCGAAAACACGACGGAAATTGAACAGAGAGCTCGTGACTTCGAGTAAGGCACATCATAATCACGACCTCCAAGAATTTTACACACCGTCCGATGAGCGCAGTAGTACCTAGAGCTCTCCACGCTCCCTTGGTCAACGAAATCAGTGATGCAGTGGTTTTTGTTTCTGCTGCCGCCTTCTGCTGCGGCTGCGGCTGCGGCTGCAGTGGCGGAGGCGCCATTTCCGTTGTCGTTGCTTTCATAGTCGAAGCTTGCCATTATCGCTCGCTGTGGTAACTTTTGTGAGTGCTCAGTGAGGGTGTGAGCGAGCTTTCAGGTTCGTACATGCAATGCAAGGAGGAAATATGGAAAGGTTCAGTAAGCGACGAGTCCGACAGTGCTGTCTGGTGCGCGTGAGTTTCTCTGCTGCACGATACTTGTCTCATCATTTATTTTTAATTTTTTTTATAAAAATTAATTTGTTTTAAATTTTACTTGTCATTGTCAAGTCAAGGAAGGGGCCAGCTTTGGTGTTCATCATCTGGACGGTCCGTATTTTTAAATTTTATTTTATATTTATTATAAAAAAATTATCTTATCATTAATTTAAAAAATGTAGATTTGATTTATATGGCCTAATTTAATATTAATTTTTTAAAATTTTTATAAATTGACTGTCCAAGTGTATTCTAAATAAATTAAATCTAAAGTATATCTAAATAATTAATTTATAAAAATCAAAAAATGATATTAAATTAGATTATGCAAATCAAATATGCATTATCTAAATTGATGATAAGATAGATTTATTAAAATTTTATATTTTTTATTTTAATAAATAAAATAAAAATAAAAAATAAAGTTGATAAATTTGGATTATCCAAATTTTTAATTGCTCATCACTTAATGAGCACTAAATTTGAATTCTGTTAAGGAGATGATGGCATTTCTAATTCCATTTTTTCCTCAAAAAAATATTTTAATTAAAATATAAATTCAAAATTTTGGATAACCGTAATGTCTTAATCTTTGATCATCCCCTCCTCTTCTAAAATGATGAAAGAGATCCTTAACTGGCTGTTTTTATTGTGAAAATGAAAATTAGGGACCTTGTAAAATATTAATGACTTTTATAGACCCTAAATTATTGAATCCTAATAATAGATCATGATCCTTTCTTATAATAAATTATCTTTTGCTGATTAACTTGAGATTTACAATAAAATTTTGTAAATTTTTAATTAACACTACAAAGATTCTTAGGTATTTTTTGTTGATTTATGAAGGAATAGCAAAAAATTATAAGCGATTAGCTTGTAATTTATAATTAACTTTCATAAATTTTCAATTAATATCACACATAATTCTAAGTATGTTTTGTAGATTTTTCAAGCAATTTGTCTATATATTAATAGAAAAAAATTATAAGTGATTGACTTATAATTCACAATTAACTCTGGTAAATCTTCAACTAATATAACAAATAATTTCAAGTATATTTTATAATTTTTTAAGTGATTCATTTGTATATTAGCACCACAAAATTAAAATTTACTTTTGACTCTCATAAATTTTTAATTAATATTATGAATAATTCTAAGTGTATTTTGTTAATTTTCAAACTGACTTTTTGTTTTTTTTAATTGCAAATAAAGACTATAGTTTGTTATTAAAATTTTAATAGTGCATGTTTTGTATTTGTTATTAATGTTCTTAGAAAGTCTCTAATTATCATTTTTCCTTTTTTGTACTCTAGTTTGAGTTGTTTTAATATATAATTTCAATTCCTACTAAAAAAATAGTAAGTTTAATTTTAAGTGATTATGATTTGTGATTTTTGTTTGGAATTTTTTTCCCTAAAAAATTGATTTGAAGATGCCCTTTATTATAATTATCTTTAAATGTGTAATTATTAAAAAGGTAAGATTTTAATAAAGTTATTCTAAATTTGTATAATTATTATTCAATTTTAAAATTATTAAATATAAATTAATGAATGGCATAATATTAAAATAATTTCCTATATTTTAATTTTAGTATGGAGAAAAATTTTTACTTGTAAGTGAAGCACATATTTCAAATTTTAAATATATGACAATGATCAGGTGCTAAATGTTACTCCTTCTATTTAAAAATGTAAGGTATTTTTTGAGGAGTTAGATGTTAAAAAATGTAAGGTATTTTTAGTCTTTCAAGATATAATTATTATTTTTCTAAAAGTACCCCTATTGATAATGACTTTATATTTATTGTAGGTTGTTTAATAGAGGTAAATATGAAAAAATATAATTAATTCAAAAGTAGGTAACTGCTTTATTGAAGGGTAATATTCAATTAAAAATGTCTTACATCTTTAAATAGAAAAAGTATCTTTCGTAATGAGGATTCAAACCTGATTAGTCAGGTTGTGAGGAACTAACTCCTTTAATAACTCTTTATATTTTGGTGTTTTAAAAATTATTTGTAGATGAATTTAAAGAGTTATTTTATTATTTTTTCTTAGTTTTGGTCCTGTATTCCATAATTTGGTTTATTATTTAATTTTGTTTTTTTCTTTTTGTGTGTCGTTAATTGCTTATTTTGTTTGTATTATTTTAGATGACCTTGAGATTGCATTTGGATGAGTATAAAAGGATGTCAAAAGTGAAGAACAATTACAAAGAAAAGGATGTCATGACATGTCATCACCTAGTTGCCACGTGAAATTCCTGCCGTAGACCTCTCATACAAACACCAAAATAGGAACCTGCCATGGCAATTTTTACTGTCTAAATGTACAACTCCATTTTTCAGTTAGATAAAAGAGAGAAGGATTTTTTTTTTTTTGGGAAGCAAACTTCATTTTAGACATTCTCTAAAGTTCTTGAGACGATTTTGGAGATTTTGAGATGATTTTGAAACTTGGGAGGAAGAGAATTTATCACCATTCATGTCTTCATTGAATTTTCCATTAATTTTTTCCTTTTGTCTCTTATGTGTCTAAATTTGAACCATTTTATGCTATTTTGATATTTTATTTAGCTATGCAGCTAAACTTTGTTACTCTAAAGTGTTATGAACTTATTTGTTTTAATTGTATCTTGATTTATTGATTACTTTGTGATTATTAATGGATATTTTATGTTTTAATTCCATTTTTTTTGTGTTATTGCCTAATGATTGTCCACCATTAAATCATAATATGGGAAAACATATAGATTGAACTTGAAAAAGAAATTTCTATTTGGACCATTAGAATTGAATACTTAGGATTAACTATAACTAATTTGTCTCTACCTAAGATAAGAATGTACTTAAAAAATCTAAGTGGTTAGATGGGATTTGAATTTAATGCTTTTAATATGATTTTAACAAGGAATTGTTGAACTAGAATTAATTAGGATTTTGGATATTCCAAAGATATTTAAGATTAATTCAAGTGTCCCAACTTTTAAAACTAAAATTAAAAATTAATTTAATCTAGAGTGTGAAATGCTGGCGATGGAGATGAGAAGCTCATTTGTGGGTGAGGAGGACAATGAGAATCAATATATTTTATAAAGTAGTTCCACCAAGCCGAGGGACGATGCCTCGGCCACAGACACAGATCATTGTTCACAGAGCCGTTTTAGGTGTGATGGCTTGAGATATAATATGGCTTGCTTTCCGGCTTCGTGCATGGGTTAATGTGATATGTCACTCTCTCTTTTAATGCCATGCACTTCCTCTTCACTTTAAATTTGCCATCGTTCTCCATTCCTTCTTATCCGTTTTCTTCTTCGTCCTCCGTTTGGCGCATGTTATGCTGGTTTGCCCTTATCATTTATTTTATATTTTGGGTTATATTTCATGGTACCTGTTGTTCATGTGAAGTAGTATCGTTTTCTATATGTATTCTTATCTGGATAACCTAGTTTTGTAGGAGATCGTTCTCTATCTAACAGTACTGTCTTATTGACGTTTTCATGCATCATTTTCTATCCAACGCGATGATGCCAACTTTGAAATGCTTGATTCTCTTGAGCCATCCAAACCTGAATCAGCGATCCTTGTGAGGGTTGATAGAGTATATCCTAGAACTGGTGTAGATCTCCATGATATTGCATCCGGTTGGCCAAAGAAGATCACCTCATTTGAGATTATTGTATTTGACACAGCTGTAAGTGTGATATATTTACATGCAATTTTTAACCATTTCTTATGACTAACCTGTCTTTATCTGATCTTATCGGCTTTCTTTGAACCTCTTTTTCAGTGGTCTCGCATGATAATTTCAATAACAGGTGATAACCTTATTGAACGTTTCTTTAACCGTTTACTTGAAAGGAGGTCTTACTTCATTCACAGATTTAAGGTTGTTGAAGGTGATTTTGCTATCCATCCAAGGTTTCATATCCAGTTACATGCCAATAATTGTATTCATGACTATCCGTGTCGTATGTTGAACTATCTATTTAAGATAAGATCTGTCTTCATGGTTAGACGTGAATGGTGGCCGGAGGTTCGCGTTCGAGGTGCGTGTTTATTGTCATTCATCTCAGTCCCGTTGGAGAAAATAAATTAAACATAACCATTTCTAATTTGAGTTTTTCATTCAATTTCTCATCAGATGTTTTGGGTTTCCTGAAAGGTGACGTCCTCTACGAGTAGTTTAATCTTGATGGGTTCATTACTCGAAAGATCTCTTTCATTGTTGCTGATAGCCAGTTATGTGCTATGTCATATCTGTGTTGTTAAAGGATAACCCAAATTCATTTTGTTCTCATTCACCTGTATACAAGTGTTTATTATTATTATTATTATTATTATTATTATTATTATTATTATTATTCGTTCTGTTCATGCAGTGGTAACACGATTCAGTGTATCTTGTATGGTGATACTGCCATGGTTTCATGGAACACGTATCAGCTGAAGAAGGGTCCTGACAATCTTATTTTAGTTGTGCAGTATCCATTTGTTGCAAGGGAAGATGGTAAATCTTTAACATGAAGCCATGTGACTTCCCTGATATAATTGTTATCTTTACTGTCTATTATTTTTTTCTTGACATGAGCTATGTGGGTGAGGAGGACAGTGAGAATTTGCACAAAGGTTGGTAGGCATTGTGACTGAATGAAAGTGGGAGGGGCAAAAGTGGAGTGTTTTCCCAATTTCATTTTTATATCCATTCTTTCATTTTAATCATCCCAAATGGGCCCTTAGTAGCAGTTGCAAAAAGCCACCATGTATTTACTATTTAGTCAAACTCAAACTTGCTACTACTAATGGTTGGGGGTGTCTTCTCACTACCAAGTTTT